CCTAGTTTGTTTTGTCTATATAAGACATGCTCAGTCTAGGCCACTTTGCCTGAGCAACTTCTTAGTTCTCTGAGCTTCTGTTTGTTGCAACTCCTGTATCCTGTATCTGACTACACGTGTACCATCCCTGGCTTCATTCACCGACTGTGCTTGTTTTCCACCTGTCCTAACCTCGGCTAGTCTATCAGATTTCCTGTTGTCTCCTGCCAGTGTACTCTGCTCACACGAGTGGTCTCCGAATCCTCAGCTGGGCGTACCTGGGGGCCGCGACATGGTTCTAGCTTGCTGCAAGTTCATCCCCACCATCAGGGGCTCTGGTGAAAAAGTAGGTTGGGGCTTAGACTCCACTCCATGGGGAACCCCGAGTTGACAATCTACAAGGGCTCACTACCACAGGTGCTTGACAGTTTGCTCAGGCCAAGTGGGTTAGACTGAGCATGTCTTATGTAGACAAACTAGGAGGCGGGCCAGGAACTGATGGAAGGGAAGGAAATAAAACCCAGAGAAAAGCAGGCGATGCCCATAGGTGAGCACAGACAAACCACACATGTGAAGGGAATCAGGAAAAGCACTGCAGCAAGAAAGTAAGAATGCACAAACAAGAAATTGCAGGCTAACATGTGACAGTAACCTTTTGCATCTGTCTAAGGCTTTATGTACACTAGCAGCATCTAAACTTGAATTTAGGAACATTTGGCATTTTTTTACCTCCTAAAACTTAACTCTATAAAAGCCTACTATGTATCCATGTACACATGGGCTTTTAGCAGAGTTTAGGAACTGATGCGTTTTAGGTTAGTTAAACCTTTCTCTTCTGAACATTGAAGAATCACGTTTGTCACGTTTTGCGTTTTCCCACTGCCATGGTCATGGTAGGCTAGTGTATATGAAGCCCTACTTTGTTCCAGTTTTTTTTGCATAAGGGCAAATGTTTGAAGCAGATTATTAGATTTACAAAAGGCAAGAGACTGCAGTCCTGTAGGAAGATCTTGTGCACGCGTATGGTGCAATAAAATTAATAGTATGGAATTTAATTTAGAGGAGAAAGATCCGTCTGGCCAGGCCATACCACCCACCAGATGTTAAAGTTGATATTTAATTTAAAAAACAATATATGCAGTTTTTTAATGCAGAAGAGACGTACTGTTACAATGTCTTTTCTGCGTTCCATCTTTTTACCTGCCTTTCCACACTGTTCACTGAGCTGGGCACATGCAACTCTGTGCACAATTTTGGCTTCTGACAAGATGAGTGCACTTCCGCACATGTGATGTCTTCTTAACCCAGCCAATAAAATGACCAAAGATGTGAGCAGGTGAGGGAACTCTGGGACACTTCATCGATGGAGTGGAGAGGAGTATAGTTCTGCTTTAAAAAAAATTAATACCTGCCATGTGGATGGGCAGCAGATTTTTGTTAGCTGAAAATGTTCAACTTAAATGTAATGTTGCTGGGTGCTTTTAAAGCTTAACTCCAGGCACATTGTCAAAAACTCCAGTGAATGCTAATATACACTATATTGTAAAGTATTGGGACAGCCCTCCAAATCATTGGATTCAGGTGTTCCAATCACCTCCATGGCCACAGGTGTATAAAATCAAGCGCCTAGGCATGCAGACTGCTTCTACAAACATTTGTGAAAGAATGGGTTTCTCTTCAGGAGCTCAGTGAATTCAAGCGAGGCACTGTGATAAGTTGCCACCTGTGCAAGTCTATCCTTGAAATTTCCTTGCTATCAAATATTCCACGGTCAACTGTTAGTGGTATTATAACAAAGTGGAAGCAACTTTGAACAACAGCAACTCAGCCACAAAGTGGTAGGCCACGTAAAATGACAGAGCAAAGTCAGCACATGCTGAAGTGCGCAGAAATTGCCAACTGTCTGCAGAGTCAATAGCTGAAGACCTCCAAACTTCATGTGGCCTTCAGATTAGCACAACAACATGTAGAGAGCTTCATGGAATGGGTTTCCATGGCCGATCAGCTGCGTCCAAGACTTATATCACTAAGTGCAATGCAAAGAGTTGGAAGCAGTGGTGTAAAGCTTACTGACACTGGGCTCTAGAGCAGTGAAGATGTGTGCTCTGGAGTCAAGAATCACGCTTTTACTGTATGCCAATCTGATGGACGTGGCTGGGTTTGGCGGTTGCCAGAACTGTACTTGCCTGACTGCATTGTGTGCCAAGTGTAAACTTTTGAGGAGGGGGATTATGGTGTGAGGTTATTTCTCAATTGGGCTTGGCCCCTTAGTCCCAGTGAAGGGAGCTCTTAAGGTGTTAGCATGCCAAGACATTTTGGACAATTTCATGCTCTCAACTTTGTGAGAACAGTTTTAGAGATGGCCCCTTCCCGTTCCAACATGACTGCACTCCAGTGCTCAAAAGAAGGTCCATAAAGACATGGATGAGAGAGTTTGGGATGGAGGAACTTGCTGGCCTGCATAGAGTGCTGATCTCAACCCGATAGAACATCTTTGGGACGAATTAGAGCAGAGACTGCAAGCCAGGCCTTCTCATCCGACATCAATGCCTGACCTCACAAATGCGCTTCTGGAAGAATGGTCAAACATTCCCATAGACACACTCCTAAACCTTGTGGACAGCCTTCCAAGAAGAGTTGAAGCTGTTATAGCTGCAAAGGGTGGGCCAACTCAATATTGAACCCTACGGACTAACACTGGGATGCCATTAAAGTTCATGTGTGTGTAAAGACAGGCGTCCCAATACTTTTGCCAATATAGTGTATTTTTATTAAAACAATATCACCTGCATTTCAAATGAATTGTTCAAAATACCTTTAAAGTAGAGCTACAGGCAAAACTTTTTTTGGATAATGGAGAGTTATAACCCTGTCAATTTATTTTTAGCCATCTGTGTCCCATTGGGGAGATTTACCTTCACTTCCTGTCCTATAGCCAACACAGAAAGTGAGGAAAAAAATCTCTTCAAATTAAGGGAATCCCTTGTACTCCCCCAGGACACCAGTACTAGTGTCCCCATTGAAATTGTTCCCCTCTATTACTTTTCTAGGGTCAACCCAAAAATTTGGGGTTTCTTTTACTATCAATGATAATGGTAAACGGTACAAATAGAGAGGGTGAATCTCCCTAATGGGGGCACAGACAGCTATATATATATATGTGTGTGTGTGTGTGTTTTTTTACTGGTGTATTTAGTTTGCATGGAGCTCAGCTTTAAATACCTCCTAAAACAGCTACATTTTAAAGATTTTAATTATATTAGATTCCGTCCGTCAGTACCATAGGTCACTGTCTTCATTTTGGTGTTTTTACACATGAACAAAGTTGGTCCAACAAGAGTTAAGTAATATTGCTCTACTCTGTAGCTTGCTTTGATTTTCCACAAAAGTGACGTGTATTTATCGCATCTCTGTAGGTCTGCCTTGGCAATGGAGTGTAAAAAAATTATTTTTGATTAATCTGTACTTCATTTGTAACGATGATAGTAGTTGCAGGTCAGTAAATCTAGGTAGGCCTTTAAAGGCTGAATACAAATATATATATATATATATATATATATATATAAATATATATATATAATATTTATTGCATAGCTGTTGAAGCTTGCCATTGCCTATCAGTAGCTTCAGATTAAAGTTGTCTATCTTTTCACAGCATATACACAATTTCCTCAATGATACCTGGCATGCAACAGTCAGTCCCAATTGGATGAAAGTCTCTTTTTTTTTTTTTTATAATTTAAATATATTTATTAATTTTCCATTTTAAATATACATTTCATCAACACAATGTAGATATATATATATAAAAATATATTCTATAATATTATAATATCCAACATTTCTACTTTATTTACTCTATACAACATTTCCCCCCCAGCTCCGCCCCCCACCCCAAATCCCCTCTGCCTATCCTACCTTTTCTCTGCATCTTCTTATATCAGCAAGTGAAGTTTTTCTGTTGTTTTCTTTATTCTTTCCTATACTTCATATATAATCTATCTAGCTTTTCCCAGTTCTCCCATTTCCCATAATAAGCCTCCATCCTATCTTCTTGGATATGACACAACCTTTCCATCTTTTTGATCTGCTCAACTCTTTCAATCCAGTCCTCTTCCTTCGGTATCTCTATTCGCCGCCAGAACTTGGGTATCATAAGCTTTTGCAGCATTTATATAGTACCATATCCCTGATTTTTTATATTTATTTACTGTTATATCCATATTATGCAAAATACATACTTCTGGGTCTAGATCTATATCTATTTCTGTCAATTTCCTATCAAGTGGATTATTGTTTTCCAGATATATCTGGATTTTTGGGCATCCCCACCATATATGGAATTATAGTGCCTACTTCTCCACATCCCCTCCAACACAGTGGTGAACTCTCTCCACATATCTTATTTTCTACATTTGGTTTATTGTGCCATCTTGTCAAAACACTTATAGTTCATCTCTACTTCTCTCATAGAAATGTTCTTGTGAATTAATCTATACATTCTCCTCTGCTTTTCCTCATCTATCACAACTCCCATATCCATTTCCCATTTTGTTATATATGTTGGCTTTGTGTTTGTGTCTAATTCAGTGAGTATTTTATAAACTTTAGTAATACCCGTGTTTTCCCATCACCTTGTGTTCCCAATACCTTTTTGAACAAATTCCAATTATCTTTTGTCCTTTAAAGGTTTTGGCAAACTTCCAACAAAACACCTCAATTGAAAATACCGCAAATTCATCTAGTTTAGTGAAGATCTCTCCCTCTTTTTTCTTTCTGACGTGTATTTATCACATCTCTGTAGGTCTGCCTTGGCAATGGAGTGTAAAAAAAATATTTTTGATTAATCTGTACTTCATTTGTAACGATGATAGTAGTTGCAGGTCAGTAAATCTAGGTAGGCCTTTAAAGGCTGAATACAAATATATATATATATATATATATATATATAAATATTTATTGCATAGCTGTTAAGCCTGCCATTGCCTATCAGTAGCTTCAGATTAAAGTTGTCTATCTTTTCACAGCATATACACAATTTCCTCAATGATACCTGGCATGCACGGTACCAGTCCCAATTGGATGAAAGTCTCTTGACACTTATTTGGTCAGTTATAGCTTCAGTGTTTACACTTGGTGGCCTTATTGGAACATTTGTAGGTGGACACGCAGCAGCAAAGTTTGGTAGGTGAGTAAAGTCCTTGTGTAACTCAGTGTTTAGTTGTAGTACACACAGAAAATCTAGTAAATAGTGAGTTTTTCAACAAATGTAGAACTGGCTCCCTATGGAGTGCCTGCTGGTTGTTGGGTCCTCCAGCTGCTCCCATTGGTGACTCATCTTAACTGGACCCTCCAACTCACCGAGACAGTAGTAGCGAATAAAAGATTTTATTAGAGCTTTGACAAGCCCTGCAACTATTACCAACACAGGTCATACAGTGCCCCCCAAAACCTACAGTGACCCCCCAGTCCATCCAGCGCCCTCCATTTAAATACATATTTTGTATTCCTATACTTCTATTGTGTTAGTATAAATTTTGTATGCTCTGACCATTAGTTTTGATATAAACCACTAGCCTAGTCAACATGTGTAATGTGTTGACATGTGTGGCAATCCTTTATAATGTACACTCACCGGCCGATTTATTAGGTACACCTTGCTAGTGCCAAGAAAATATCCCCCATACCATTACATCACCACCAGCCTGAACCATTGATACAAGGCAGGATGGATCCATGCTTCAATGTTGTTTATGCCAAATTCTGACCCTACCATCTGAATGTCACAGCAACCAGTCTGCTCAGTCTCCTGTGTGTGTACAAAAATGCTTTGTTGATGTCAACTTCTGCTCACTGGATATTTTCTCTTTTTCCGACCATTCTCTGTAAACCCTAGAGATGGTTGTACATGAAAATTCCAGTAGATCAGCAGTTTTTGAAACACTCAGACCACCTCGTCTGGCACCAACAACCATGCCACGTTCAAAGTCACTTAAATCCCCTTTCTTCCCCAATCTGATACCCGGTTTGAACTTCAGCAAGTTGTCTTCACCACGTCTACATGCCCAAATGCATTGAGTTGCTGCCATGTGATTGGCTGATTAGCAATTTGTGTTACCAAGCAATTGAACAGGTATACCTAATAAAGTGGCCAGCGAGTGTATATGTAATCCATAATTATGCTATATGTATTCCCAATTCAACACAGGCAGGGGGTCCAGCAGTAACACTAAACTAATTGTTAGTGAGTACTGTTATATTGTGATTAGGTTGCTTTAAGAGCATATATTGTTCAACAAAAGCATTGGCCAGCCTGCAGTCTAGTTAACCATGGTGATGATCACAATCCAAAGTATAACTTATATACTGTAGCTTGTATATATTGAATAAAAAAAAAAAAAAAGATTTATGCTCCAATAGGTAACCAAAATAATTTGACTTACTGATGTAAAATGAGACAGGAGGCCCATCATTTCAATGAATATCATTTTTTCCCATACCTTGAATAGCGACTTCGGAATTTTCAAGAAAGTCACGGGATGTATATTCCAAAACATTTTAGAAAGGCTCTGCACCACAATGTTATAATAAAGCAACTGTATCACTAAAACTAAAAAAACAAGACGCACATTAGTAAAAAAAAAAATATTATAATTCCCCATACAGCAGAGAACTTGAAAACAGTAATTAGATGTTTGTACATATATTCTTGTGCAGGATTTGTAATTCTTTGCTTAAACTATGTCTTCTTGTATTTTGCAGGAAGCAGGTTTTATTGGTGAATAATGTTGTAGCAATTCTAGCTGCTCTCTTCATGGGAATTGCACAACCGGCCAGATTATATGAGCTTCTGATAGTTGGGAGATTCCTTATAGGATTGAATGCAGGTAAATCACATATGCATGCATGATGAAGTGGCAGTGAGAATATTTCATACACAGAAAAAGAATGTTGTTTTGTTCATAACTGTCATGTTTTAATTATATTTATAATGTATTACAGGTGTAGGGCTGTATGACAACAATAACACTGCCAATATAAGTGGGTGGGTCAAAGAACAAAATGAAAAAAAGAAACGAGTTGTAGGAGAGGGAGGGCCACCAATGTGCACCACTGCCTGGCGACACAGGGGAACCATGCTGCATGTTGGGCAGCACAGTGGCTAAATGGTTGGCACTTCCACCTGGCAGTACTAGGGTCGTTGGTTCGAATCCCAGCCACGGCACCTCCTGCCTGGAGTTTGCATGTTCTCCCTGTGCCTGTGTGGGTTTCCTCCGGGTACTCCGGTTTCCTCCCACACTCCAAAGACATGCTGGTAGGTTAATTGGATCCTGTCTAAATTGGCCCTTGTATATGAATGTGAGTTAGGGACCTTAGATTGTACACCCCTTGAGGGTTAGGGACTGATGTGAATGCAAAAATATAAATGTAAAAGCGCTGCGTAAATTGCCGGCGCTATATAAGTACCTGAAATAAAAAATAAATGTGCTGCCTGCCCTACTACAGCGATAATGCGTGTAAGGCTCCATTCAGATATGTGCATGCGTATTTGCATGCATGTCACAGGTAGGGCAGCCCAGTCATTTCAATGGGCTGCCCTACTCACGAGAAACATCAGGAAAGAAAGTTCCCGATTCTTCAAGAATTAATGGCACCCGCTGCATTAAGGCTAAAGTGCAGCACGTTTCTTTTTTCTGGATTGGGATGCACATGTGGTTTGGAGCACCTTCCCTACGCGCAGAGCTGTGAACCTATCCTGAATTACCATCTGCAGATGCCCATATGTTAAATCACCCAACCAGGCCCCACACCAAAAGGACTGCATCTTTTTCATCTGGTGATGTTGGTCTGTTTCTACCTGTCCCCAGACTACAGATCATTTTGAGGTCAACAGAGCAGAATACTTTCCACCGGTTCTTCAGCACAGCATACTTGTCTTGCTCCAACCCATGGTTTGAAGGGGAACACCATAAAACATTTCTGTTTCTGTAGAATAGGGACCCACCACTGAAAAGGGCATGTTTAGATGTACAGCAACCACCTTTCCATCTAGAACCATCCTTCACTAGCCACCACCATCCCCGTTTTAAACTGGCTTCTCTTCTGCATACCAATGTTACACAAGCACTTGTGTGACCCTACCCTCCTGAGTGCCACTAGTAACTGGTTCCCCTGCTCAGCCAGGCCACAAGCATTTCTCTCTACTTTTGTCCAGACACAATGAAATAGTCTCTGAGCTTGTTTTTTTTTTTTTTTCTTTTGTTAAGGGAAATAACTTGGGTGGGTTAATAGGGATTATGGGATGTCCAACTTGACTGAAGCAATGCACAGGGACAACTTCCTTCCTATGTACAGTGAAAGTTCCTGGACTGTTCTCATCCCTGGATACGGTCAGTCTTTATGGATCAGTAGCAAAATCCCTTTACGGACTAGGAACTCTCAGGCCCCCTTTGAAACTTAGCACAGATTTTTGCAAACTACGTGCAGAAGCATCTCCTCTCTCCTATAGACCTGCTTCACAGCCTGCAGACAACACCAGCCCTCCTGGCTGCTCTGAAGATCTCCCAGGACATGAATAAATGGTTAAGCATAGCACTGTCCTTTGAAAGCTGGCATCATGTTCCAGTCTCTCCCCTTGTGAATCCCTGGATGTGTTGATGTACTCACTCTGTCCTCGTTGCTCCCTTTTACTCCGTAGGCGAGATTCATCCTCAAACTACGCTGTTGATAAGATCTCCCCAAGCCTGCTTGAGGCCAGCCTGGAGGTAAAGACCCCCTAAATCTAGGGGATCTCTCCTAGGCCACTAACAGCCTCCTCAGCATTCCATCTTCCAGCATATTTAAGGGCTGACCTGGCCATCCTGACAGGACATTTTTCCTGGGGATTGGCCAAGTTCCCTCAAGTATGCAGATCAGCCCCTTCTTGCCTTCACCCCCATAACTTCTAGAAGTCTCTCCAAACTCCTAGGCCCAGGGGGATGTACCAGAGACTTGCATCTGTGGAGTCATCCTGCCTAAACTGCAGTAACCCGACCTAATTACAGACTCGCTCAGCTTCCATGAGTCGCACCACAATACATTTTCCTACACTAATACTAGTAGCACAGTAGATGGTGCTACACTTGAAACCCTCTTATTTAATTAAACTGCATTCCCCGCATTACATGCACTGTGTTGGCACACATCAGCTAATCTTTATTAAGTCGCCAGACTTGTGGAATAAGCAAAAGTCTTTCACTGAGTGTAGTTCACTAGGTTACACAAAGATGTTACATAGCTCAGCATAGTAGATGTCATTTACACAGTCAATTCCATTACAACAGATATTCCACAATGAATCCACTGGCTTAATGTAAACAGTTCTTTTTGAGGTAGCTTAAGCTGGAAAATGGTTAGACTATTCCATAGTGAGTTTGTACAATGGTGAGGCATACCTTTTTGGCTCAAACTCTTCCCATTCCTTGAACTGGCTTTTAACACTTCCTTGTTACAGGTGGACTCCCTTCTCCACTAACGAGCACATCATAGGATGCGTGGCCTCCCTTGCATTCCCATCCGACCAAAAGTCTCTATGCCTCGGGGAACACTCACCTTTGCAATGAAAAGTGACCTTACCTGCAGCTGACATACCACTGCACGTAATTAACCCTATGGATACCAGGAAAAAATGCATACACAAATGCAGTGACTAGAGTGTCACCTGCCAGCACATGAATATGCTTAGGTCCAATCACAGTGGTGCTCATACTTAGTGTGGGCACTGACACTTTGTTGGAATTTTGCCCAGAACCCCTTATCGTGGCATGACATTAAGGAGTCAGAATGATTTACCATCAAACTGGTGGTGTCTCCTATGGGATCCTGTGATCAGATTTGCAAGAACAATGTCCTGATTATATATTGACTTTCTTGCAGGCTGGAGTAGTGGCCATCATTGGAATTTGATGAGTATGCACACTAGTGTTTGAACTCTATAGAGCAAGTGAGCAGGGTGCAGTATGCATTCTAGAACAGTACAGGTGGCACACAACTCCTTTTAAAGGGCTCATGTATATGGGCCTTTATTTACATCTTCCTCAAGTCAAAGTGTATGCAAAAGCAATACAGAAGTAGCTCAAAGCAATCCAAAGGCAAATTGAAGCAACTCACAATTAAGAATCATAATGTTGTTATGAGTTGCAATTGTCTACTTTTATCTCTGTAAATATATTATTTAAGAACCGCCTACAGCCAAGTCTGATATTTAGATGGATGGGTGGTTATGTGGTTGCTGGAAGATTAAATCACATACTGACTTCCATTTCTCAGTGAGTCCATCGGGAAGATAAACCCATTGGAACTCCTAATCCCACCCAATTGATATGACAATTGCAGAGCAATTATGGTGTCGCAGACTTCCATTAATCTCCATATAAAGAACTAGGAAGTCCAGGTATGAAAGGGGGACCCATGACAGAGGTAAAAGAAACCGGAAATACTTTGGGGAAGCTTTGTCAGCTCTTTCCTCCAAGAGATACGAACAACTGGTGATTTTTCTCCATGAGTAACTACTGAAAGCATAAATATGTCTTGGGCTGAACAGACATATAATATATAAATATTTATGTGGAATTTGATCTTTCAGGTACACTAGAGTTGGGCTTTTATAATATGCCTTAAATTCAAGCTGCTTATTTACAAAACTGAGAAAATGTTATGCTGGATTCACCATAAGGGCCCTCTACCCTTCCTAAACTTACTGCTTAGTGTCCCTTGTTTACCATTAATAAAACAGGCAGTTTAATAAACCTGTCACTAGCCTGATAGCTTTAACATTTCACAGGCAGATATCCATTTTCAACAAAATCTTGCAGGTAATAGCTGTTCATTTCCAGGTTAATATTCCATTCCATTTCATTGCCTGTTATGTAATCAGGGATTTTATTAGCTTTGTAATATTCAGAAAGAGGACCTCTCCAGTCTAGTTCACTGCATATGTTTACAAGAGTATTTGAGAGCCCCATGACGTGTCCAGGTACCTCTGTGTTGTGTGTGCAGTCCTAATCTTCTTTTCTATATACATCTGAAAGTTGGTGATTTCAGACATTAGGACTGCACATACAACACAGAACAGACTTGTCTGGGGATACCTCTTTCCAATCTTTTATAAATATATTGTCTACAATTAAAGCAGAATAGTACTGTAATACTCATTGGGATGGTCCATGAAATCAAATGGAACAGACAAACAAGGTAGGACTGTTTCTTCAGACAGTATTCAAATAAATTTTCTCACCTGCATCTAAAAAATTGACACCGAGAATCTGACAAGGTCTTTTCTTTTATTTCAGTTAATTTTATGTTTTTCAGGTGTTGGTATCTGTGTGCAGCCATTGTATCTCGGAGAAATCGCTCCCAAAAAAATCAGAGGCCTTGCTACAGTGGGCATTAATGTATTCTTAACTGGTGGAATCCTAACAGGACAAGTTATTGGTTTACGGTATGCACAGTCTCATATTACAAATGTTACATTTCTTCAAGAGTATTGTACCGCCTTTAAATAAGTTTGTAAAAGATGATCCTTTTTTTTTTTTAATTAATAAACATAGTAAACTTATCTGCTCTGTGTAATGGTATTGCAGAGAGGAAAGCCAAACCTTCTCTTCTGGGTTTGCCACCGGCGCTCTCCACTCCTTCTCATCTCTGTGTGCCCCCATAGATAACCACTTTCTATTGTGGTGCACCTGTGGGCTCGCTCCCAAGCCAGGCTGTGAAAGTTCATAGATACACACAGGGCGGCTCAGCCCCACCGCTCTGCTCCCTGGTCCCGCTGCTGCCTCCATATCCTGTAAGGAGAGCTCCGCTGCAGACAGGCACAGCACTGGATCAAGATAGGACTTAGGTAAGTATTTAGGTAGGTTAGGGGGCGGATACAACTGCTGGGACTTTTTTTTACCTTAATGCAGCCACTTTAAATGAAAATTTTATGAATGCTGGTTTGTGATAAGAACAAAATCTGGCATCAATCTGTTAAATTAACCCATGCCCAACGTCACTGAGAGACCCATTCACTCAGGTTGGAACCCCAGTGACTTTGAGATGTTTGGTTACTTAAGGTGGAGTTTTTTGCAAGGTTGGTGTGACTTTTTTCCTAAAACCAAGAAGGCCTTGTTTTACCTGAGAATTCACCCAGGTATGTCTGTCCATCAATGTATAGCTCTGTTCATCCAGCTGTAAAAGCCTAAAAAAAATTCCATTACCCCAGTGTATACTGGAAGGGGGACTTTATATACTCCAGTGTATACTGGAAGGGGGACTTTAGGTAGCATGTTTTGTATGCAAATAAAGGAACATTGCTAAAATTTGCTGGGAAGTATCCCTTTATAGAACAAGGGGCAACTTTTAAAAGGGTTTTCCCATAAACTTTGAGCAATTATTACAGTGAAATGGTGAACATGTGTTGTGTAAATACTTTGATGTACATGATGGTAAAAAGGTAACCTAAGCAAAACTATAAATTAGGAACTGAGGGTGAATATATGTGAAGGTTCCCTGTCTTAAAGCAGAGCTCCAGTCTCTGTGGGAAAAATAAGTCAGCAGCTAAAAAAACTGACTTTTTAAACAAACAGCCACTCACCTGTCCTTCGATCTAGTGGTGTGTTTACCCTACCCGGGTTCACTGGCCGTCCTCAGTGCCGGCATCTTAACTGTGGGAAAAAATACGATTCCTCCTGCACTCCAGGACCCAGGCCGGTGGAGAGTAGGTGAAATCAAACCCAAACGAAACGACCACCAGAGCATGAAAGGTCGTGCAGCTCAAAACAAGGCTGGGGAAGCCCGAACAATACTGCAAAGTGAAAAAAACAAGAAGCGCACCAACCTTGCGCATTACCTCAGTAACCAAAATGTATTAGTAAAGGAATGGTACTCACAAACAACTTCCTCAGAGCAGCTCTGAGGAAGAAGGTACGACCTTCGAAACGCGTCAGCTGTACTGAGTGTCTACCCCCATGATGGGATTCGCGCTGGCCTCTTGTCTCTGAAGTCCCTTGGAGGACTTACCGTATTTTTCGCCATATAAGACACACTTTTTCTTCCCCAAAACTGGGGGGGAAATGTCAGTGTGTCTTATAAGGCGAATATGGAGCGGCCGGTCCGGTATTTCCACCGCGGCCGTGTCAGAATACCAGGCCGGCCACTCAGCTCTGCAGCGGGACCTTACCTGTTCCTCTATCCAGCGGCGTGCTGTCTTCCCGGCTTCTGTAGTGTGGGCACTGGGCATGACAGCCGGGTGCCCAGTGCGCATGCGCGTGAAGCGGTGCGCTTTGTGAATGGTAAGGCGGTACCTGGGACACATGACAGATCCCAGAAGCCGCCGGACCAATCACAAAGTGCAAGTGCTTCTCACTCATACGCACTGGGCACCCGGCTGTCATGCCGAGCGCCATTACAGAAGCCGGGAAGACAGCGCGCGGCTGGATCGAGGAACAGGTAAGATCAAACAAAAACTCTGCAGAAGTAAGAGCGGGTACCTGTCAAATTCAGGTACCCGCTCCCCACTTCCCCAAAGGTCAGCAGTCATCTGTACTGTCCGCAGTCTCTGGTCATCCCTGTGCTGTCCGCAGTCTCTGGTCATCCCTGTGCTGTCCGCAGTCTCTGGTCATCCCTGTGCTGTCCGCAGTCTCTGGTCATCCCTGTGCTGTCCGCAGTCTCTGGTCATCCCTGTGCTGTCCGCAGTCTCTGGTCATCTCCTGTAATGTGTCTGCAGTCCATTAGTTCAGAATTTTTTTTCCCTGTTTTCTGCCTCTAAAACCTAGGTGCGTCTTATGGTCAGGTGCGTCTTATACGGGAAAAATACGGTACATGCCTGTTTTTATTCGCTGTTTGTGAGTACCATTCCTTTACTAATAAATTTTGGTTACTGAGGTAATGCGCAAGGTTGGTGCGCTTCTTGTTTTTTTCACTTTGCATCTTAACTGTGGGAACCTGGCTGTGACATCTTGTGGCTTCACAGCTGGGTGCCCACTGCGCATGCGGAACGTGAATGGTCCAACGGTCTTCTGTCATGTGTCCCGGAACACTGTGGGGAGTGGGAGGAAAAGAACACTGGGCTTTCACTAGTAGCTTTGTAACACTCGACCTTCACTGGTAGCCAGAGACAAGGTGATCTAGACTGTAGATCACATGTGGAGCAGACATTTAATTCATTTCAAGACTGAAATAGTTCTAACTCAATTTTCAGTTGAGTAATTTGCCTGGTTCCCTACTGATTCATATAAAGTGTGACTTCTGTTGATAGATCCATTTGAAGAGAACAAGGCTTGGCAGAAAACCAATACTGTGGTTAGATTACAGTGCATTAACACTTCCTATGTGTTTTATCATAATAAAAGAAGTCTGGATGCACTAAACAAATTGGAACACAGAGGTACAGTGTTTGATCCTATCAGAAATCACAGTATACTAAATTAATGCAACCAGGTAAAAAAGTTACCAGACTCAAGATGCTGAAATAAGAAAGTGATGTTATTTCAGCAAAGCTATACTTTGACTTGACTCCAATACTAGTAATGCTTCTGATGCAGGGACCCTGATGTAGCAAATAGAATTTATGAAATAGCAGATGAATGACCACTACATGTTATTCATTTTAGTTTTGTCTGCAGTATGTATGAGGACAGAGGGGACTAAGGCGTAGAGAGAGTATTACACCCCATCATTGATAGAGCTTCCTGGTACATGCATGTAGATCCAAAGTGAGCAGTGCCATTCCTTTTAGCAGGCCTCTTTGTAACTATTCATGCCATTTTGTAAAATTCATGAAGATGAATCAGTAGATATGGAGAATGAGTATATCGTTAAAGATAAAAGTAGAATAATAGGGATTGGATTTTTTTTTCTCCAATAGAACGCAAATTAATATAGGTGAGTTAAGTGCAGGGTGTGAATTACATGTGCCTTATTCATTTCCAAGTAAGCTCTGTTGCACATCAGAATTTAGATTATATATATATATATATATATATATATATATATATATATATATTTTTTTTTTTTTTTTTTTTTTTTTTTTTTTACAGGTCAGAATAAGCAGCAACATTATCAAAATAAAAAAAAATTGCAAAGTTGGGGGGGGATCCACCTTTTTATCATTTAAAATATATTAGATTATAAGCTCTTATGAGCAGGGCCCTCTTCACCCTCATATATTTTATTGTCTTGTAACTGCACTGTCTGCCTTTGGAATGCAAAGCACTGTGCAAATTGGTGCTATAAAATTTCTGTATAATTTATTTATTTATTTTTTACATACTGTTACCCTAGCAGTACAGTGTCACCATGGTGACACTGTGCTATTTGTGGGGGGTGATGAAGATTTTTTTTTTTTTTTTTTTTTTTACACTGATTGCTTTTACACCCATATAGGATGTAAAAGCAATCATTTCTCTTTCTCTTTGTCTGCATTCTTGCAGTCATTGAGAAGTACTGAGTGAGCTGTGATTGGTCACAGCTTGTCACATGGTACAAGGCTGCTGTGAATAGCCTTGTATCATGTGACCTCTGTGATCATTCACAGATTTCACACGTAGTAAGCAAGATGTCACAAGTGACATCTTGCTTACTACTTTGCATGTGATCACTGATTGGCCAATCAGTGATCACATGATCGGGACCTCGTACAGAGGTCCCGTCCGACGATCAGTGTTCCACTGTGTCCAGAGGACACAGCGGGCACTGGACCGCAGTGCTGCGCGCTCCAAGGGAGCGCGCACAAGCAGGGTTCGGGGAGGGCATTTATAAATGGCCACCTGACCCTGCACTGCCACCGTCCGGCCGTTTATATACAACGGCCGGTCGGGAAGTGGTTAAAAGGGAGATCTCTTCAACTTACTGCTCCAAGCATAACAGCCTTTTTCTAGGAACCCAGCAGGGTGTCTCCTTAAAGCAGAGAACCAATCGCCTCATTTGGGGAGGGGTGTTTTGGCGGGGAACTCAGGTTATAACCAAATCCCTCCCAGTTTATATCATGGTCAATAACCTTCCCTAGGTACATGTAGCAGCCTAGCCACTAGTAGATTAATATGCAGAATGATATCTTGAACGTCCAGACATCAAATATGCCATATCTTGCTATTTCAGCTAGAACTATATATGGATTTCTACTCTCCTGTAGACTTTAACTAGGGGTGTAAGATATCAGGCGACTCGCATTAAACTGAGCTATCCGAATATATGCTTTGTTCGATTGTATGTATTCCCTATTTTAAGTTACGAAAAGTGGTTTTTACATGGGATATATGTTTTACTGCTATCCTGGAATGCTTTTGAAGTCCAGTGACTGCCGGGTTTATGGCTTTACGATCAGCTTCAGAGCAAGAGTTTGCCAGACACCCTGGCATTGGCTAATTGGGTTTACAACCATGAAAGATATCCAACTGTGTCCTGAACCCAGCACACAAGGACCACGTGTCACTCAACAGAGAGGGAGGGGGGAGCTGATTTAGAGTGAGAAATGATACAAGATGGTGGGTCTTTACCAAAATGGATGTTCGCGTCCATATTTGTATGTACAATTGCAGTGTAAAAATGTTTATATTTTTTTTTAAATGTTTCTCACCCCCCACAAGTAGTACAGTGTCACTATGGTGACACTACTGCTAGGGTGACAGTATGGAAAAAAAAAAACATAAACAAAATGTAAAAAATTTTTTTAATTCATTATTTTTCTATAAACTGATTTGGGTTTACCAAAAAGGTAGCAGAATACATGTTGGCCAAGATTTATGAAGAGAGATTATTTGCAAAAGTTTATAAGAAAAACAATTTTTTTTCAAACTTTTCAGTCTTTTTTCATTTATATAGCAAAAATATAAAATCCCAGTGGTGAACAAATATCACCAAAAGTTCCATCTGTCTCAAAAAAATGCTGAAAATTTTATTTGGGCACAGTGTAGCATGACCATGCAATTGTCATTCAAAGTGCAACAGCACTGAAAGCTGAAAATTGGACTGGAAGGGGTTGAAAGTGTCCGGACTAGCAGTGGTTAAAAAAAAAAACTATTACTGAATACTTTATTCATGATGCAAGATTAGTAACCATGTATCTGCCATGTGTATTTATCAGGGAAATACTGGGCCGCAAGAACACATGGTCTTTATTGCTGGCTTCATGTGCCATACCGGCTCTTCTACAGCTGATTGCCTTGCCGTTCTTCCCGGAGAGCCCCAGATACCTTCTCATTGACAGAAAAGATGAATATCAGTGTCAAAAAGGTAAACTGAAAAACATGCAGTTTTAAACATCCAAATCTTTTTTTTATTGATCATTACCTAAAAACATAGTCTATGTATCCCATAAAATAATACAGCCTGAAAGTCCACATATTTGTTTTTCCTAGCATTGAAAACCTTTTATGGTTCAACCCATTATCAGATGGAGATGGATGATATACAAAAAGAATCACAAGCTTTAAATGGTGAGAAACCCAAAAAAATACTTGAGTTGTTCTTCGATCGGACGATAAAATGGCAGCTTATATCAGTTATCATTGTCAACATGGGACAGCAGCTTTGCGGGATCAATGCAGTAAGTATGTACAAGGGATTTATGCCAACATCTGAGAGCCTGTGTGATTGAGCTTTTAGCCACTTCAATTGGGTTTTATATTTCTTTATAAGTTGATGGGAATGCAAAACATGCTTGAAACAGTTTGAATGCAGGTCAGAAGGAGGTGAAATACACCTGTTAATGAATTTTTGAACGATCTCAGATATGTCTCAAACTGATGACACAAGCCCTAAGGTTTATAGTGCAGGTTTCTGTGGGATTCTGTAAATAAAATAATGATAAAGAACTTTCAGTTCTCTTCGGTTTTTTTTTTTCATTTCCCAGGAAGCAGTACAGGAAAGGGTAGAATCTGGAAAAAATAATTGAGGGGGGAAAAAAAAAAAAAGGAAAATATCACAATTACTCTCAGTAGTGATGTTCATAGTTCTTTAAGGGGAGTTCTTATGCTTCAATATAAGCTGCTCACAAAAACAGCTTGCCTCCAAGACAGAGGGCTTTCCTGACTGAGATATCAAACACAAGATCAGTAAAATGTTAGCATTTGTCTTTTTATTTGCTCAAATTCTTGCTTTCAATCCAGATTGTGTGTGTGTGTGTGTGTGCGTGTGTGTGTGTGTGTTGTGTTAACCCCGCAGGGGCAGCTTGATAATGCTTGTCCCCAGTGGCTGCCATGACTTTGCAAACTTCCCCACACCTCTGACACTCTGGGTTCAGACATATTTCAACAGTATAGAATAATAACACAAGAGACACAATTCTTTAGTAACACCTCTATAATAAACTTGTTTTCATAAAAGTTGGCCACAGAAATAATGGGTTTAGGATATACATCCCCAGTTAATGCATACAAATAAAACACTGGTAAAATAGGAATAATCAATTGGCAATGTTTAACAGATCATACACTCATGAGTAGTAAGCATCAACCATTTAACTGCAACAATGGCAGCAAGAGGGGGAAGAAAAGGCTTGTTGACTATATCTGGCTATATCTGGACCACCAATGGGGAACACAGAAAATTATTTAAAGGCAAATTTATCTTCTATTTCACTCACATTTAACAGAACAAAGCATGAGAAATAATAACATGTACAAGTAAATGAGCAGAAAAACATCACAGGTGTGGCTATGATCCATGGGGATACAACAGCAAGATGGAAGGATCAATAACACATTACAGAGATATGACAAACCATAGTTTCGGGGCGGTATCCCCGGGTGAGATGTACAGAACAAAATGAGAGCACTCCGTATAACCGAGAGTATAAACCCAAACTGAGAAAAAAAAGTATAAAAAGAAGAGAAAAAAGAGAGACCAGTGGTAAAGATAGTGAAGGAGGAGAAGAGAGGGTTGGGAGATGGAAACGGCAAAAAGCAGAATCAAGGTGGCCCTCCACCAGAATCCCACCGGAGTGACCCTGCCGCCTGCACCCTGGTGCAGACCGCAGGGCCCAACTGGTGGACATGCCAAAATGAATCGGGGAGCAAGGCTCAACTCCACTAGGGCACGACAGGGGAACACATAGGGAAGACATATCTCGGAGAGAAGGAGAAATGGAGCCAGACTGGCCACAGTAACTTATGTTTATCATAGGTATCATTGGCAAATGCCAGCATTTCCTCCATATGCATGGTATTATTAAGCACAGAAACCCACATCGGAAGAGGTGGGGGAGTGGCTGTTTTCCAAAAGAGGGGTATCAATTGGCGGGCCGCAGATGGAAAGAAACGCAACAAACCTTTCTTGTGCACTTCCAGTGATCCCGGTAATATAGAGAGGAGAGAAATTTCCGGCGAAGGGGCCAAGGACTCACCATGGATCCTGTCATATACAGCAAAGACCTGTCACCAGAAGGGTTGTATTTGATCACAATCTCACCAAATATGAAGCTATGCACCAACAGCTTTATTACAGCGCCAGCAGAGATTAGGTGTAGAAGGAAACATGTGTAGGGAGAAGGGGTCCCTGTACCATCGAGAAAGGAGCTTAATGTTCTTCTCTTGTGCATAACAAGAAATAGACGATTTATGAGTGAAGTGGAACGACGTGGACCAGTCCTCAGCCAATATTTCTGTACCTAGGTCTCGAGCCCACGCCTTGGTGTAGGGAGGGAGTACAGAATGAACAGCATTGTGTAGCACTTTATAGTGGGAAGCTAGGACATGTTTCGGTGGTTCAGAGAGGGAGCACAGCCGTTCAATCTCAGAGAGTGGACGATGAGTGTAGGAGGAAAAGTATAAGTGCTTGCAAAATGAGGATAGATGTAAAGTGGTCAACCAATCCCTAGGCCTACCCCGAAGGAGCGGAAAACCCGATTGGGGCCAGATGAAGTCTCGAGCTATGGATCAGGAGGCGCGTGTAAAGGGTCTGATGGTAGAAGAGCCCAACCCTTGAGGAAGAGCAGGGTTATCAAATAGGGGTGATAAGGGAGAGGGATCAGAAGATAAGAGGATGCCCTGTTTATACCACACCCGCACTACAGCCAAAGTCAATGGGGACAGGCCGGGAAAACGCCGATAGTCCTGGCTATCCCATGGTAATGCCCGAAGATGAACCTGAGAAAGATCTTGTTCTATCATACAAGAGATTTTACAGAAGGGTCTGGGAAACCAATCAAGCATCCTGGCTAGCAACGTGGCTCTATAATATAACTCAAAGTCTGGTAAATCAACTCCGCCTCCAAGTTTCGGGTAAGTAAGTAACCTATATTTTAACCTTGAGAACCCACGGTGCCAAATAAATCTAATCGGAAGGGAGCGTAGAGGAAGAAGCTTCTAGGGACAATGATCAGTACAGTCTGAAAAATGTATAGTAACTTAGGTAAGGTATCCATCTTGAGGGTGTTGATGCGGCCTAACCAGGGCAGCACTGAAGCGCCCCATAAAGCCAGATCTTTTCGGATACGTGAAAGTAAGGGTAAGAAATTAAAGGAATATAGAGCATTAAGATAAGCAGAAATCATGACCCCCGGGTACATAATAGCCTTTGGTCGCCATTGAAAAGAGAAATTAGAGCGTAGGTTCGCCCACACATGGGCAGGTAAAAAAATATTCAAAGCCTCTGTTTTAGAGATATTAAGTTTGAAGTTACTGAAAAAATCAAATCTATGGAATTCGTGGAAAAGACTGGGGAGGGAAATAAGTGGCTGTTGAATGTACCTAGAAAGTCGTCTGCGTATAAGGATAATTTGTGATGTGCAGAGGGAGTGTGGATGCCCAAGATTGAGTCATTAGCTCGTATGGCTCTTGCAAGATGTTCCATTACTAAAACAAAGAGAAGAAGCGAGGGGGGACAACCTTGTCTAGCCCCATTCAATATGGGGAAGGGCAAAGAAACCGTACCATTTACCAGGACAGACGCTGAAGGATGAGAATAGAGGGACATAATCTGAGCGAGGAATTGCGAACCCAAACCGATCTGTTCCAAGGTAAGACATAGAAAACTCCAGTCAACGCGATCGAACGCCTTCTTAGCATCAAATGAAAGGAGGCAAGCCTTTATGCCGTATTGCTTGATATAAGAGAAAAGACAGATTGTTTTAGAAGTATTATCCCTAGCTTTGTGACCAGGGACAAAGCCAACCTGATCATGGTGGATCAAGGTTGGTAGAAAAGGGGAAAGGTGGTTTGCTAGTTTAGCAAAAAGCTTAACGTCCAGATTAAGTAGAGAATTGGACGATAGCTACCGCAAAAAGAAGGGTCTTTACCCGGCTTAGGGATAATCGAAATATTGGCAGACAAAAAAACTGGTGAAGGCACGTTCAGATCGTCGATAACATTAAAAGCTTGGGCCAGCATCATCGTATTCTGTAGTATTGACTTCTACTTAGGTATCGTATTTGCTCGTCTTCCCCCTACAGATTTTTACCGCAAGACAATATGGTAGGAGGCCAAACGTCTCTTTCTTTTTAGCACTTGACAAGCCTACCTAAATTTGTGGCCTAGTTCATCCACACTGTTTGGTTTTGCGTTGGACCTCATTTACCTTTGTATGATACATGCTTTGCTGTATGTCCTATGTACACTTCATCTGTCCATTTTCGTGTGTGATAACTTGTATCTTGTTTTCAATAAACTTTGTTTTTTGGAAAAAAAAAAAAAAAGCTTGGGCCAGGAGCGGGGCCGTTGGGCGGCAAATATTTTGTAAAATCACTGGGTAAGCCCGGTCCGGTCCTGGGCACTTACTAGTTTTCAGGGTTATTTGCCCCAAGAACTTCCATAATCAAGAAGGGCTCTTCTAGATCCAATGTATCTTAGGCATCTAGAATAGGCAACAGCATCTCTGCAATGTATTGAGACATAGCCGGCAGGGAAGAAACAGAAGGAGCATCAGGATTCGCCAAGGGTAGATTATAAAGTTGAGAATAGCGCTCAAACGCAGAAGAGATTCCCTTATTGTGGTAGAGTTTTTAGTATTGTCAGGCGCCTTGATGTGCTGGATCGGGCGACGGGACAGGCGGGGTGGAGTACACGCGCTAGGTGTTGGCCACATTTATTAGGGAGTAATGAGTGTTGCGTGCTTTGTCTCGTGCAACAAAGGAGGAAGAATCTAAAAGTTGGAGTAAGTCTCTACGAGCGTTAGATAAGTCCATTGCGAGCAACGGGTCTAACGTACGGTTGTGGGAAGGTTCTAGAAGCGCAAGGACGCATCTCAGTAGTTCAAGCTTTTTTAAAGTGAGAGCCATGTTTAATAAGAACACATTTGAGGGTCTCCCATTGAGTAAGAGGGCCAGTAGTGTCCAATGTGTGGTCAAAAACAAAGTCTTGTATAGTCTTTGCGACCTCCGATGCATAGAGAATCTTTGAGCAGGATATCGTTCAAACTCCACGAAAAGCGACGCGAAGACAATGGTTGGTCCTGAATCGTAAGATGGAATCGGGCATGGTCTGACCATAAGAAATGACCGAGAGAGGATGAAGTCCGACAATCTAGAAAAGACTGTGAAACAAAGAAATAATATATACGACTGTATGACATATGAGCTGCAGAATAAAAACTATAGTCTCACTCGGAAGGATGTTAGATGCGCCAAACATCCACTAAATGTAATTCATGCAAATTCAACTTAATTTGAGATAAGACTGATAAGGAGGGAGAAGATTTACCCACAGAAATGTCCAGGTCTGGAGAGAGAGCTATGTTAAAGTCCCCTCCGACAATGAAACTGGAACTCCCAAAAGTACGAAGTACGCGGTCCAACTCAATATACGTAGGTGTCTTTAGGTTGCTGTAGTAGTTGATTGAAGACCGCTGCAGCTAAATCTTTAGATTCAATGGTTTCTGGTATGCCCCTGATCTGTACATTATTACGGCTGTTCCTGTTCTCAATGTCATCTTGTTGGTACATGAGTTGTTGTATTAAAACCGTATGGGAGTTAAGGGTTTCTTCATGAGATTTTAAGGCACTACACAGACCGTCAGCAGTATTGTCATTCTCTTCCAGACGTACACAAATATCTTATTTAAGATCAGAAATTTCTTGTTTCTACGTGTTTTCAATATGTTTCACATAAAACTCAAAATCTGCCTTTGTAGGAAGAGATTTAATGTAGGTGTGCAGGGACCGCATGTGGGACTGCAGATCCCAGCCATCCTCAGAGCAGAGAGATACTGGAGAAGGGCTGCAAGACCTCTGTGTGCCCTCAATATGGGATCCCCATGAGGGACTTCAGGGAGCTTCTATGTCTAGGGGGGGACGAGGAGGGGAGAGGTGCCAGCTCCATCTTGGAGGCTGGGGCGCCCGAGGCCTCGGCCGAGGATCGGGTCAGAAACTGGCTCATGTCGCCGCCGGACCAGCCCCCCGTTGCTCTCCAGGGGGTCGGTGTTGATTCTTGCCCATGGGGAGGGCAGAGGAGAGCCCGTGAGGGAGAGAGGAAGCCTGCAGCGGAGGTCCGGGCCGGGAGCTGTGCAGAGGTGCTGCCTATCGCTCCATGCACCAAGCCACGCCCCCCACAGAGAATTATTTAAACGTATAGTCCTCTATGAATAGATATAAGTACCCAAATTTGAATAGTAATGGCCTTAAAGGAGAAGAGGTCTTTTTATCTAGAGATTTCAACTTGAGTCCTGTAATGTTTAAAGTTCCTGATATGGTTGTATCCATTGTCTTCTGCTAGCAATGGTGGGGGCCCATAAACATTAGTGAATACTCTTAATTCAATTAAATTAAACAGACTAGACTGTGGTACTGCTTAAAGCAAAGATCACCTGGTACTGAGGTGTAAAGATGTCTGCATGCAGTGTCTCTAGAGTGATGACAGAAGTTGGGCCTTTGCCCGCTCACCAATCCTATGGACAGCATGGCCTCCTAGGAATAGGGTTTTTTGCTTAGGCTCTTGGCTGGTTGGCAGGGATGTGTGGAGTTACCACCTGTCAGCGTGGCAAGCAGGGATGTCTGTGTGAAAACTGGATAGTGACAGTCCTGATGTAGAGATCCTGATGCGATCCCAATGTGGCCATCAGTGTCACTGCTGTGCTGAACTGATGTGCAGAGTCCTGCTGCAGTAGGCCAGCAATTTATCTCTGGAGGAGAACGGCAGTCCCCCTGTGTTCATCCCTGAATCCCGTACCAAGAGTGAGAACCAGTCCCTTGCTGTAGAATATTTCTCAGGATCATCCTCTTTCGCCAGCTCTCTGGTAGTTGTAGTTCAATCAGCACTTTGGAATACAGGATGTATTGCCTATAGGACTACAGGTCCCAAGATCCTCTGCTGCCAGGAACACAAATCATGTTCAAAATATAAATTTTAAGGGTCCATGCACATTGCTTTCAAAAATGCTGCTCCTATAGCTGTTTAGCGTTTTGCCGGTTGTAGCAGCTCAGTGTTATTTTATATGTCAGTGGGTCATTTAGAGGCATATTTTAGGTTTAGGGTCTAGAGGCAGAAAAAAAACCTTCTGTTTTGCATTTTTGAGAGCGATTTTCTGGTAGAAAAAAAAATGCAAAATGCTGCTAAATGCTCCTTAGCGCTTGTACATTTACCGTTTTTTTTTCTGCTCAGAGCACTGGCATATTTTAAGCCAGAGCGCATAGACCTTTAGTGTGACAAGTGACCACTTTCACATTCATTGAGTAACATTGACACATTGATGTCATTTAGAATTTTTGGATTTTGCGGTATGTATTTTAATTTTTCAAAATACTGCAAATCCAGAATCCATTATATACTGCAAATCCAAAAATCCAAAATGATATCTAGTGTTACTCCATGAATGTGAGAGAGGTCACATTTGTCACCCTCAGACTTTATATTTTGAACATGGTTTGTGTTCCTCCACATGGCTTATTTTTTTTATTACCTATGCATGTCTGTCTTCTATTACCGATCATTATTTATGGCACATTCTCAGACATGACAATCCAAGGTGTCTATAGTTCACTCTTGGAGCGAGAAGCAACGTATTTCCCAGTGGAGAATGAATGAAGAATATGTCAAGAATGTTGAAATACAATTTATAATGCTATTACTAGAAAATGTGCAACTTTTATTTTATGGTTTGTCTTTACAGATTTATTTTTACGCAGAATATGTATTTAGAAAATGTGGGATACCGGAACACAACATTCCCTATGTTACACTGGGAACTGGAGTCTGTGAATGTATTACAGCTTTAACATGTGTAAGTCACTTGTTTTATTATACTGAATTATTTAAACACACTAAAGGGCAATTTCACCCCAAATTTAAATTTACAATACAAGTGGAGTCTAATGGGATGAGTTATCTACTAATTCGCTACACACAGGGACACTAATAAGGAACTCGGCTTACCATAGCTCTTGCTCCTTTTTGCTCACCTTGGACTCGTGTTCCCTTCTGCCCTTGGGTGGTCCAACTTCTTCTGCTGCATTCTTTATCAATTTGAATTAATAACCCAACGGGGAGAGAATGATACCCTTTTACTGGCTATGGCAGGTATGTGGTTTTTAGGAAATCAAGCACAGGACTCTTGTCCCAGGAGTCCATATGAGCTGTAAGTTAATATTAGCTAGTTTAACTCTTCAGTAGCCACCAAAATCTGAACTTTGTGGTGTTCTTTACTCTTTAGCAAGACAGATATTTTGACAGATAAGAGAGGAGGGGAGTCATTTGGTGCACAAAGTTATACTTTTGCAAAATGTGCATAGTGTTTAGAAGCAAAAGGGCATATTAATTTTATGGTCTGTAGAGCCCGGAAACATCCATGTGATAAAGTTAGAAACAGTCTGTATACAAAACTTGCTGAAAACTCTGTACAAAGGGAGAAATCACACACTTGATGATAGCCTGAAAGATTTCTCAGTTTATTCTTCAATTAAAAAAAAACTTCTACAGCTAAGAGGATTAGATAACGTGCCAATTGGCTGCCTTGCATCATAGGTCACCCCTGGCAGTTTACTTGAAAATAATAAATGTTATCTCAATTTGTCCCATATAGGAGTAGCTGAGGCAAAGAAATCCTTAAAGTGGTTGTAAACAGTCATGAAATCTGAACAAATGGTAATGGGGGGAGGGGAGGTTGGAGAGCTTAGCACACAGCTTGCCTATTCACAACACAGCTCTGCATCCTTTCGTTCCCATCCCATGTGTGAAGGGGTGTGTCCCTTTCCTCCAATCAGCTCTCACACTGTACAAGAGATCTAACTGCAGCTCCATGCCCCCTCCTCTGTGCTCTGATGCAGAGGGATTTTATCTGAATTCAGCACTTTCAAAGGGATGTAGAAAAGAGAAGACTGCAGATAAACAAGTAAAGGAGGATGCAAGGAGCATTTGCTTCATATCTATGTATCACCTGAAGCTATTCACTTCACTGGGTATATGTAAGGGTTTATAACCACTTTAAGGGAGAACCATACATGTATAACAAATATAAAATAAAGTCTCTAAAGAGGCCCACTTGCTCACTTGTAATGTTGTAAAATCCAGAGCAAGAGGCTGGTCACGTAATATTGCCATTTACTTTCAATTACAAATGCAGCACTTTGAACAGTTATATCAGCCACTGTCTGACTTGACACAGTTTATGTTGTGTGCCATTTTCTGTCTGTGAACAAAGAGAGGTGAGTATACGTGTTTAACACAGATCTATGCATTTTACCAGATTTGACAGTTTACTGCATATGGCCAGATCTGACAGATGGATGTTTGGTGGCTGAACTGATCTTCTAATCTAAATGGTGTTTCGGCAGGACTGGTGCGAGGAATTTTTGTTCCTTCCGTCCTCCAGCCACCCTATGCTGGTACTGCTAGACCCCCTTCCTGTCCTTCATCCACCCTGCGCTGGTACTGATGTACCCCCATGGCCTCCATCAGCCCCGTGCTGGTACTTCTGTGCCCTCCAGCCACACCACACTGGTACTGCTAGACCCCTCCCTGTCCTCCAGACACCCCACACTGATTTTACTGTACTTTCCCCCCGGCCTCCAGTGACCCCTGCAGTGGTACTGTTGTACCCTCCCTCCATCCTCCAATGACTCTGTACTAGTACTGCTGTGCCCCCCCCCCCCCTGGCTTCCAGCGACTCAACACATGTAATGCTGCACACCCCCCCCAAATTCCCATGTGATTTCAGATTTTACTCATCCTGGCACCCTAAAGTGGTTAACTCCAGCCTTGAAAGCCAGCATGGTCTGGAGATGGGGTCCCTGTCCCTAGGGGAGATTGGGTGGGGTATTAGATGATGTATGGAGGAGATGGGATTGTCTCGCTCACTGAGGTGCAGGGACAGATTGATGGAGTGCGGGTACTGGATCCCGGCCAGCAAGGTCTGGCTGTGCCACCAATGTTCGCCTAGCTGTTGTAGTCAGTGAGGAAGCACACAGTGCTGCAGCCGGCAGCCCTCCAGTTGCAAGCTCTTTGCCTATGCTGCCTTATGCTAATGCAAGATCTGTGCTTGGGATAGTAGAGTTAAACAAAATCAATTCCAGTGACCACTAAATTGTTTAATAGTTAAAGATGAACTTAGCAAACATAAACACCCATTAATCGAGTTAACATGCCATTATTATATCAGTTTGGAATATATATCTTGCACACCAAGACCCTGAATAATAAAGGGGGCCTACTAATGAAATCCCAATCACCTTGTGAAAGAGAAACTGGTCATATACAGTCAGGTCAAGTCAGTTAAGCTTGAATAATGTACATGGCAGACTAGATTATACTGTATCTACATGACAATCTCTGCTAACCATTGTGAATGGAGATTATCATCTCATTTTAGTTGTTTGTTTTGCATATACATTGCCACACAAACCAACTGTTGAAAATTCTGCATTTTTTCTATACAGTTCACCCTCAGAAATATAGTTTCCTGTTTGAATAATCGGCAGAAGTTAGCACAGAGCTTTTAGCAAAATTAGAAGCATCCCCTTCAAAGGCACAACATTTTTAGCAAAGATACTTTCTAAGTTGCTTCTTAGTTAAATGGATGCTTATGATGCTCTGTTTTTAATACCACACTGAGACGTGTCAAGTGGTAGTTTATGAAAGCCCTCTTAGAAGTCAGTTTGAGAAAGGAGTTTACATTATTATTTTTTTTTTTTTTAATTTAAAAAAGAAATAATGTTTACTAGTTTTTGTTTTTGTATAGTTTGATTGAATAGCTTCCATGTTTTCTGCAGTTCACTTGGAGGATATTTTTTTTTTTTCAACAAAACTGAATCACAGAACATTTATTGTTTGGGCATAGCAGCAGTTAAAGAAATAGGCTAGCAATCTTAGTACCTGCTGACACACATCACAGGTCAGTATAAGAATCACTCATAGGTTTATATTTAGTGCCTGTGCGTAAGAATGTTTACAGAAATGCTTTACAGCATGGTGGGTAATGCCAATGCAATGCACATCACATGTATGATATATGTGTTGTCAGGTTGGGGTGATAATATTTTTTCAGAAGGTGCTGGCAATAGTGATGTGACTTCAGCATGTATAATGTATACTTGTGTCCTCCGCTTCTAGGGACTACTCATAGATAAAGCAGGAAGAAGATTTCTTATAATTGGAGGATACACTATGATGGCATTTTGGTGTATTTTAATGACCGTGACCTTGACATTTCAGGTATGAGGTTTCCAATAATAAATTTTCATTGTAATTCCTTAATAAGAATTATTATTCAGGTTGTAGTAACTGTATTGGCTATAAAAATGCAATACACAATTGTTTTTTTCCCCACTACTGCTCCTTTGTACCGACTTGATCCGCCAAATGGGTAGCAGTTGGGAGCTTTGTGTAAGGCATTTGAATACTAATATTTAATACTAGCATTTTGTCTTAACTTTACCGAGTTAACTATCCCATTTTTCAGCGTGAACAGAGAATTTGCTTGTTCAGTTGCTTTTGTTTACTTCATGTGCCCATTGCAGTTTGCCATCACATCTCTATCTCATGAGCAGCTTCTGATAGGAAGTTCTTATTCTCCCCCAGGAGCTTTTTTCTATAACTTGAAGTAAAAAGAAAAAGGTTGATTGTATCTTTCCCAATAGTGCATCACAGGACTGAATGCAGGCGGTATATAAGGCTAATGCAAACATATGTGGGACACAATCATACTAGTGTGTTTTTACCTAGTAAGTTGTAGCTATGAATGTAAAAGTAAGAATAAACATTATTGGGGCTCCTTACATTAGTGCACAGTCAGGGTGGATTGGGCTTCACATGCTTGCAAATCATAGGAGGAGCACATGATTCTAGAAACATCGTAATGTTGTGTTATTCCTAATAAATCCTAGTTATGAATGTAATAGTGAAACATTATTGGAGCTCCTTACAATAGTGCACTGTGATAACAGTCAGGGTGGATGAGGCTCCAATTCACATGCTTGCAAATCACAGGAGGAGCATTTGATTCTAAAAGGTAAATAACAGATCATACCAACAGGAAATTAAAGTGAACCTGTACAAAAAATTTAAAAAGTAAGTGCTAAGACCAATAAATCAGTTTGGACTCCTAATTTCCTTAATGGGTACATACAGGGGTTAGAGAAAAATATGGAAACGCTACATGATTTGCAGGTGGGAAAGTGACATGTTTCACGTCAAAGCCGAAGTGATGTAACATTCATTTGCTTCAGCTGTGGGATGAGACACCTAGCTAACAGGTGGGAAGCCTCACTTTCGTCATTGACTGTGTGCGCTGCTAGTAATGCAGAGTAAAGTCAGAACATAATGTGTTTTTAAAGAGGGCAAATTGTTGGTGTCTGCTTAGCTGGTGCCTCTGTGACTGAAGTTGCCAATTTATTTGGCGTGTCGTGAGGTACAGTATCAAGTTGTGATGGCATATACAGTTTCCAGGAAAATGTCATCTGATAAGCATAAGAATGGTCGACATGGTAAACTGATCAAAAGAGACAAAAGGACATTGAGCAGGATTGTGACCAGGAATAAGAAAACAACTGTTGCAAAAGGGACTGCAGAGCTCAGCCTAAGTCTTCCAAAGCGTATGTGTTCACAAAAACTATGCAGAGGGAACTTCAAAAGCAATACATCCAAGGGCGAGCTACAATTGCCCAACCACTAGTGACTGATATTAATGCTCAGAAGAGGAGAGAGTGGTGCAACACCCAAAAAGCGTGGACTATTGAGCATTGGAAGACTGCAATATGGTCCAATGAATTGAGCTTCACACTGTTCCCAACCACCGGACATCTTTACATGTGGTGAACGCCGTTCCAAGCTTATGACCAGGACTGTCTTATGTCAATGGTAAAGCATGGTGGCAGCACAATCATGGTTTGCGCAGCCATATCTTGGTATTCTGCAGGCCCCATCATCACCTTGAAAGATAGTCATTGCTAGCAAGTATGTACAAATTTTGGCCAACCATTTGCATCCCATGGTGCAGACATTCCTGAAGACCAAGATGATTATGCTCCGATTTACACAGCTGGTGATGTCAAAATGACAAGCATGCAGATGAAGTCTCGCACTTCCCTGGGCGCTTCAGTCGCTGGACCTCAATATCATAGAGCCAATATGGTAAATTTTGGAGAACAATTTTCAGGCTCATTTTCAACCTCCAGCATCTCTGCAGGGACTGGAACAATTTTTGCATGAAGCGTGGTATCAGATTCCATTATCCACCTTTCAAGACTTTTATTTCTCAATTGCCAGGAGAATTCAGACTGTCTTGGATGCCAAATGCGGTCCAACACCATATTGGGGAACCATTTTATTCTTTTACCTGGTGTTTCCATAATTTTGTCCAACTCCTATATATGTCAAAGAACCCCCCCCCCCCCCCCCCCATTCCTTGCTCTACTTTATTACTGTGTGTTTCAAAGTTAGATGCCGAAATGACATGGAATTAAACCAAAAGACAAACACAAAAAATTAAATACCTGCATTCTCAAAACCCTAAACCTTCAGATAATGCAGAGGAAGACAAGACACTGTAAATATACGTGTTGTTCAAATTGCTTCAATATGGTACCACCATCTTTAGTAGACAGAAATGTTCCTTTCTATGTCCCTTCCAGTTTTACTTTCACTTTATACTGGGACATGACTTTTCCAAATTTTATGGCAAAACAACTATCTGTCACCCTCCTGTCCAACAATAATAACATTCTTATTGGCCACTGAGGCAGTCCCGTTGGACAGTGGCATGACATGACAGCCAGAAGGGATTATCCATAAAGTCAGGAAAGCAAGGGTTCCGTAAGAAAGGGAAACTTAATCAGAGGACCAGAAGAGGTTTTTCTGACTAATAAATATAACAGAAGTCGTTTGGTTCTTTTTACCTGTTGTCCTGAATTAACCTGCAATAAAAACTTCCCAGCCTATCTCTTGTCCCATTAGGACAGCCATGACTTGCTTAGAATTGCTTGATCTTATCAGGCCAAAATCCTCTTCAGTACAGGCCATGCCTGCACAATGAACATGTATGGCTTGTATTGAGTCATCTTCTGAGCATCTTCACTCCATTTTGAGCAGGTCAGAGCTATCCTAATGGAGTTAAAGCAAAACTCCAGTTAAAGCTTTTCTTTTTTTTACAAAGTGGGTAAGGGTTAGAAAATGTATTGTAGTTTCTGTAGCCATTGAGATTTTCCACGACTTTGTGTGGTCACTGAAACAGGAGGCCGCAGTCCAGCCTCCCATAGTCTTAAAAACAAAGAACTGGTCCTCTGTTAAGAAAGGTTGAGAATCTCCTGTCATAAGGGATCATGAAGGATTTTTTGCCCTATTGGAGTAAATTGGACCACACTTTATAAGGGTGTTTTGTCTTCCTCTAGATGAACTGAAGGTTTAGATTTTTGAGAATGCAGGTATTTATTTTGGGGGTTTTTTATCGGCTTTTGGTATAATTCCATGGAAGAGTAATTTTTCAGCCTAACTATGTAACCGATGGAAGGAGCGCCAGACCAAATATTGAAAGTCCAAAACAATTTATTGGTTTGCATTAAAAAAAACCTTCCACGGTGTTTCAGGAGCTAAAACTACTCCCTCTTCATCAGGGCTTCAGTTAAAGTAGGAAAATTGATTGGACTCAAAATAGGATTTTCTTGTGTAAATCTATGTAAGAAAGTTAATTGCTGGATCAAGGGAATTACTAGCCGTAAGGGATCTTTACTGCCATTCACACAGATGCTGCTGGCTAGTAACTCCCCTGATCCAGCAAGTAACTTCCTCTTTTAATTAGTGCAAACCAATAAATGTTGGATGTACATATACACTTTAGGGGGGATATTTATAAAGCTGCAAATGTGCGATTTACCAATCACGTGGGGTTAATCATTCCATGGACTTTCCAACACATTCACCAAATATTCACTGCAGGTAAATCTGGTGTATGTCACGTTCACTGCTATTTGACCCTAAGAGAAAAGTTCACACTTGTGTAATCAGTCAGGTTGACAAAGATGTGCACTGAGTTCAAGATATTATATGCAATATTACTGTAAAGTGATGCCACATATTTTGCAGCACCATATAATATCAACCTTCTACTTTTTTGCATTCCTATAGGATGCTGATTCATCGGTGCCGTATTTCAGTATGTCTGCTATACTTGCGTTTATATTGAGCTTTGGTCTAGGGCCAGGTAAGATAAGCTACACATACATACCTACATAAATTACTTTGTTGTCTCTCCATGAGCTTGCAGCATGAGGAACAGATACATCATGTTTTTGTGTCCTATTACATCATTAAGATATTTATTTTTCTCTTTAATTTCACAGGTGGAGTTACAAATACCCTAACTGCAGAATTATTTACACAGTCCACACGAGCTGGAGCATTCATGATAGGAGGATCTATAAACTGGGCCAGCTTTTTTGCTATAGGAATGGTCTTCCCTTTCATAGTAGTAAGTATAATTTTGTATATGGTTCTCCTCCAGTTGCTACATGTACAGTTGTGTTCAAAATAATAGCAGTCAGACATCACTAACCTGATCAATCACTGTTTTTGGTAGAAATGATATTTCTAATTGGCAAATAATTTACTAGCAGGTGTAGTAGAGTAATAGAAATCCAACAGACCAAACGGTCATGACATGCATGCTGCTGATTCTGTGTAATTGAATCACTAATTGAAAGGGGCATGTTCAAAATAATAGCAGTGTGGAGTTCTGTTAGTGAGGTCATTCATTCTTTGAAAAACAGGTGGCAATTATTGCCCTTATTTAAGGAAGGAAGGCAGCAAATGTTGTACATGCTGGTTACAGTGCATTTCTCTCTGAAATTCTGAGGAAAATGGGTCGTTCCAGAAATTGTTCAGAAGAACAGCGTACCTTGATTAAAAAGTTGATTGGAGAGGGGAAAACATATAAAGAAGTGCAGAAAATGATAGGCTGCTCAGCTAAAATGATCGCAAATGCTTTAAAATGGCAACCAAAACCTGAAAGATGTGGAAGAAAGCAAAAAAAACCCCCATTCTAATGGATAGAAGAATAGCCAAAATGGCAAGGACTCAGCCAACAATCAGCTCCAGGAAGATCAAAGAAGGTCTAAAGTTACCTGTGAGTACTGTTACAATTAGAAGACGCCTATAAGAAGCCAAGCTATCTGCAAGAAGCCCCCGCAAAGTCCCACTGTTGAAAAAAAGACGTGCTGAAGAGGTTA